ATTTGGAGACGGAGAGCAAAAAGGGAGTAAGAAGAGGAGAAAATACGAAGTCAGGACAGGAGCAAGAAGAGTCTAAACAAGGAGAAATTACCATGTAGGAGTAATCAGTGGCTAAAAGCTTCCCCCCGCTGACTCTAAGTGCTTTTGGGAACGGGCAAGATTGTAGGAATAAAAGGATGTGAAAAATGCACGTGGCAGCATCGAGTCCGTGTTGAAGACTGAGGAGGCAGAACCACATTGATGAAGAAGGGTGGGAGGGGGAGGCAGAGGTAAAAATGAGTGAGTGACTGAAGAGACTAGAAGAAAAGGAAGAAGGGGAAATTAGCTCTGAGAGAAGTCCAGCGGGGGCTTTCTGTCCATTTTCGACGTCGTCCTGTCCTATTAGTGCTTCACTTCCGGCTGTCCAAACACCACTGAAGCCTAATAAAGCCTGAACTCAGTCACACACTTGATGGTTGAAAATGGCTAGAAAAGGGGTATTTCCTCTGGGCTTTTAACAATGACCTCCAAACATCACCGCCTCACTCTGCCAACAAGCCGGAAACTTTAATGGAGACCATTTTTGTTTTTTGTTTTTTTTATTTTTGGCGGGGAGGGGTTGACGATTTGGTGAACGGGCTATTTGGCGCCAGCACCTCATTTTTTCCACCCATTTTGAGGGGAATGGGCAAGCGCAACATGAAGCTTGAAGTCTTTGTATGTGTGCGTGTTGTGGGAGGTGGGTTGCTGTGTCGGTGCAGTCTGTCTGAACAATTTTAGCATAAAGATTGAAACGCAGTTGAGCGAGTACTTCTGCTGGAACGCTGGTAGCCAAAACGCCATTTGAAAAGACCCGTGAAAAGGCAGCTTTGTTCGATGGAGCATGAAACAATTAGGTATTATCCAAGAAAAATAACTCATGCGAGTGCTCAGACCAAAAAATGTCAAAAACAAGAACACTTTGGCAGACAACATAGGCAAAAAAAAAAAAAACAGCTGTGCAGTGAAGGGCTCTGACAGTTACTACCTCAAGTAAACCTTCAACAACCAACAGTGAGTTGAAAATTGGGCTGTTTTTTTAGGTAACCTGAACTTTGGCCTTCAAAATATCTTTGGTCAACCTTGCTTCCAAATGTCGCTTTGTTTTGACCGCAGACAAATACAAGATCCTTGAGGAAAGTTAAATGACATGTGAATTATAGCGTACTTAAAAGGAGGCAAAAAAAGGAATGTGGGGTTTTCTTTCCCTTGCAATTTTGAAAAGTTTTAATTGTCAAACCAAGGGCAGGGGCGATCGAATATTTTTCCACCAATTATTCTATCAATCATCCAATGACACAAAAAATACTTTTGCATGACTACACAGCAACCCCGATGCAAAATATGCATTTGAGGTTGCAGGTATTATATTCTTGTCCACCCGTGGTTCTGTACCCTGCTGCTTCATGTTACACTCATCTCAATTTCAAATGGAAAATTTGGAAAAACTCCAGTTATCCACAAACGTCGCCACTGCGGATCAACACAAACCAAAAAGCCAAAGAAAGCGATGTCACTTCAAACCTAATTGCATCCATGAATAGCATGAGAAATCGGATTCAGATTAAAACCGGGAGACCTGAGATTGAGCTGTTGTCCTTATCCCCCATGCACATCTTCCTTTCCGAATCAATTATACAGAAGTGGCTGGAGAGCCAACCCAATGGGAGAGGCAGAAAGGAGCGTAGACTGTAGCTCCAGCTTGAGGAATAAAATCAACCACCCTTTTGTCATCATTTTAGTGATGTGATGAGTGACAACAGACTGAAACCAAAAGTGACGAGGACAAGAACATGTGATGAGCTGATTTCATAAGGTCCATTTTGATATTGCTAGCTAATATGTGATGAGCTAGTTTCATAAGGTCCATTTTGATATTGCTAGCTTCAGTCTGAGAAAGGGAAAAAAAAAAAAAAGTAACGTTCCGGTTATGTTTTCATTGCTACTCATTAGATCATGTAAACCAAATTTTTCAGTTCTTTGTGGAAGGGTGTCACATAGACCTTGGAAGAAACCATTACATTTTGGTGTTAAAACCCCAGCGCTAATCCATTTTTTTGTTTAGTCGTCACTGACATCAATTTCTTTGTTCATGACAAAACTAATTGTATAAGGCTACTAAATCCATTAACTAACTCAAAGGTCTGATTATTTGAACAATATGAGAAGATTGGCTTCTGCATCGACATTAACATCGCCCAAAAACTCTGCGGAAGACACCACTGGGGCTGCTCAAATCCCAAAAGATGAAAGATGAAGTTATCAAAAAAGGTCAGAGGGGTGATGTGAGAAATGATGTCAAACTATAAATACAGAAACCTCACAGTCATAGCACAGACACCGAAAATACAGCCGGTGCCACAGAGACCATAAAGAGTCTAATTGAGCCTTACGGGTCCATGACATATGGGATGAGTGTGTGGTATGTTGGCAAAGGTGTGGGACACACTTTTTCATCGATGTGCGAACATCCATCACTGGGTACTGGCTTGTTTAATGTCAAGTGGGACTGACCTGTGAGCCAAAACTTCACGTCAGCTTTGGACCATGACTGTTCCTTTGTTTTGAGTCCTTAAAATTATGAGAGTACTTGTGCTTTCCACTCATCTTAAACAGGATGTACCATTTTTTTTCTCAAGAGGACCATGGTTGTTCTTTTCCTCAAATGCAAAGAGTACAATGCCTTCTAAGAGGTGGGGTGTTTTATTAGGGAGGGTACAAATGTTTTTATCATAACATGATAATATTACTGTATGTTGTGTACAATGTTTTTTAAGAGTGAAACAAGTCTCAAGAGTAAATTGATCCATCTTGCCGATCGGAACTATAGTTTGGCCATTTATATCGCCGTCACTAACTGTTGCCACGGATGTCAACAACACAACATTGTCCTGAAATCAAGTTATATGGCTAATTCAGGACACTTAAAAAAAATGTTTAAAACCTACGCTGATATTGTATTATACGGCGCCTGCTGCCGGCGTTTAGCGGCGGCTCCATAGTTAGCGGCTAGCTGCATCAGTGGCTAGCAGCTAGCCACTAAACAAGTACCCTATATCGGCTGGCGACTTTTGAGAGTCATTTTAATAAACTACATTATAAAATAATGTGCACTTTTCCAGCGTGTGAAAAGCAACAGTAGTAAAGTTATATTTTTTCCAATCTTTTAATGAAGCTTTGACCTTCACCCCTTTACTGGGTCATCAAATGACACGATAAATCCACAGAGCCCACCAGCTAAAATATCAGGGAACCACCAAAGGATTGGGTCAAAATAAGCAGTTAATCAAGATATGGTATATAGTTGTATAAAATATAACCAGCATTGTGTTTGGAATCTGTTCTTTTTCCCCACAAATATTCTTAGCAAAGCTCTATTAAAATACCTTCAATGTGTGTTTCAGTATTATAGTCTGGTCCAAAAAAAGCTGCATTTTCGCACAATTAATACAATTTGGCATCAGACACACTTCTATACCCTTTTTGTGCCGATAACTACTAGACACCATGCTGACAGGTTGTATGTGAATGTAGTCACATGGAATATAACAGCAACAAATAATGAGGAACCTTTCACCCTGAAACATACAGCTAAAAAGGAGATGGAAATTTAATGTGAATTATAACAGCAAACGAGCGAAAAGCCAATGGAAGAAGTCAATATTTTACTACCTGGAAATGTGCGTATAAAAGCGTGTATAAAAATGGGTGTGCATTCTTAAGTACGGCTCGTGGTCAGTCAGATCCAGAGAACAGGGGAGTTTAAAAAAATTAATGAGACAGACCTGTTAGGCCAAAGATGACGAAACCTCATTTAGCAGTCTATCAAGGTCTCCCTTCTTGAATGAAAGCTAATATTTGCTTCCCAAAAAAAATAATAGCTGCTTAAAAATGTCTAATGTCACTGGGCTTGCTCGCTGAGTAGCTCTATATTCTCACCACCCATCCATGAAAAAGAACCTGGGATGCAAACAAGCCTCATTGAAGACATGTGAGTATAAAAAAAAAAAAAATTAATGACAATAATATTATAAATCAACAACTCAACCACCAAAACAAAGATGTAAAGTAATACTTGAGATGTATACTGTACATAAAGAGAGAGAGGCACAAAGCACACTGACTTCTTAAAGTAGTAGCACTTTGTACAATACATAAACACGGCCATTATACAATAATCCCCTAAACACATCAAACTATAAAAGCAAGTTCATAAAACCAAGATGGTACTAAAAGACTTGTTGCCAGACATACATTCCTCTCAGGTCGGTTTTACCAGCCTCTTTTGAACAGCGCAAGTTGCTCAACTTTATGAGACTTCACCCACAGCAATGACAGAAGACCAATCCAAGGATTAAACTACTTCCATGTCACTGAAGAGGAAAATGAGCTCCCAAAAATCACAACTCTAACGAATACGGTTGTGGCGGCAATGTTTTCCACATTACAGTAAAAAATAGTGTGTCTGCGTAGAGAACAAGCAAGGAATGCAGAATATTGCATCTCCTCTCCAAACATTAAGCCATCTCGTGACCGCAAATATGGAATTTTACAAAAAATAACGAGGAATAGGGAGTCACGGCTTCACCATGTCATAAAGACAAATATAGTGGTGCTCTAAAATTCGAGTTTAATTCATTCAAATCCACTTTCCCCATCCAAATGGAAAAGTCCATTATCAGTTGCAGCCTCCCAAAAAGAAACACATTTTTTAAAATAAGAGAAATAGAAATCTATAATATTGTACTTCATAAAACGTGCAATAATGAAGGTAAAGAATTAAACAGTTTGTGCATCAGGACTAATTCATCCCAATGGTTTATTAATAACAGGAGAAAATATTGTCTTGCTGTCTTTCTGAGCCTGTCATTTAAAAAAAAAAAAAAAAGCAGCTGAAAGCATATACACAGATCAGAAAAACACTTTCAGGGAATATCCTTGGAAGTGAGTCCCGAACTAAATGTCCAGAAAGAATCCCTCCTCCTTGTCTCCTTTAAATAATTAAGTGCATTCTCATCGCTTTTTCGTGACACCAGGCTGTTTTTGCCAAGCGGTGCAATGTGCCCATTCTGGTGTTGCTCTCCAGAACTTGTTGACTTGATGCCACAGGCTGAATTGCTGTAACAATATCGATTAATATGCATCAACAGTGGCAGCAGGTGAGGTCTGCTCAAACACAAAAACATCAAGGACGTCTTGTGAATTACACAGTCACCTCCTTGGGGTATCTTCGAGTTTACTTGGGTTAACATTGGGGGGAAAAAAAAAGAAAGAAAAGAAATCAACACAAAAAATGCACTGGGAAAAGTTGCACCCAAAACCCTGAGAAAACATGAACAAAGCCAAATGCAAAACAATTCACAAGCATTATGAATGTGGGTGCTGAGCAAACCATAGTCATGCTAGATCTGCCCTTTGTATCCCGCTGCCCCCCCAAATATATATCTTTTTTTTATTCAGCACAAATTTTAAAACAGAAATAAGCCATAGTTTAACAAAACCAGCCTGATACTGACCCTGAAAACAAAACACTTCCTCACAGGCTTTCCCCAAAATATGACAGACTTTAAACATAAACATTATTTTTGAGCAGACATCAAGCCAATATTCTTCTTCACAAGAATATGTTCTATGCAGCTTTCACGAGTCTAAAAACAGCATTTCATTTAATATTGAGCATGTGGAATAGGAATTAAGCAGTAAGATCCACACGTTTTTGGCCATCTCGGGGGTGGCCATTTTGTCACTTGCTGTCGACTGAAAATGACATCACACTTGCTCGGGGCTCAGGTAAATACCTGTGTCCGAATTATTGTATGATATATTTGACATGATCAGTGTTTTGTTTTTTAATCATTTATTGTTAATAACATATAAAGGTAATTTGTGCACATTTGCTACTTCAGAAGTGTGTACAATCAAACACATAGTCCATAGCATTAATCAGTTACACACACACACACACACACACACACACACACACACACACACACACACACACACACACACACATATACAGAGATATATTATTCATCGAGATATATAGATATATATATATATATAATTTATTGAATTAGTAAGCGGATGCAGCTCTTTTGAATACATCAACAACAACACAAGTATAATAGCGTAAATACCACCTGAGTTCAATCGGTCACATTTCCATACCAAGACAGTGAGAAATGTCCTTTCAAAGGCAACTGTGGCTACTTCAAACTAATTCGTCCTTTCAGTGAAAGTCAGGGCGAGTTAACGCCTACTAGTATCTTTCGGCAGTTGGCAGCCAAACAAATGGAGAGAATATTTCAAAGAATTATTCAATGTGACAATTAGTTTTGTTATTTCCATGCGCCTTACTGACAGAATAATGAAAGGCTACCTTGAGAAAGACTCCACAAACACAACAGTTATATTCGAAACCATTACATATTAGAAGGTTGTTGCGTCGTTAAATGCCAGAGAAGCAATTGTTGACAGGGGAAACAGACCGCAAAGTGATTAGTGTTTGAACAAAAGCCAAACAATTCATGACAAGGTTCTCTATTATGAACTAGACTGCAGCAGGTAAATTCAAGAAAATTACAGGCGGGATCAATAAGAGGAAAAATAGGCTCGATATATTCTGCCATTTTTAGTGGTCTTGTAAATAAAACGAGAAGGAAATAAAGGAAAAGCAAAACTAGGATGAATCACAAGCTTTTGTAATTCTTACACCAAATGTGTCCATTCTTCCGCTCAGGTGGTGACCGAACTGGCAGGCTCGCCAATTCATCTAATTTAATTTTTGAACCCATCAAGCAGTGAAAATACCTTTGTGTTTTTAGAAAGTGACTACAGTGGATTGGCAGAATCGACTGCAAGACAGAACCACCTGGGCTTCCGTACAGAGTGCCAGAAGAAACGAATGATCCAGAGAGAGGATGACAGACGAAAGTGAGCACGCCAGATGCAGGTGTTGCTCGAACACACCGGAGGAATGCATGACTAAATTATTCAGGGAGTTGTCAATGCATCTGGGTCTCATCTCGGACTTCCAGCCGGAATTGCTTGTCCGGCAGCCATCTCTGAAAAAAACTATACCGATAGGAAAAAGTGAAAGAAGAGGCCTATATATTGGACCGTGTGCATATACTCTTGCCTCCCTGCAAGTTTTTCCACATAATCCAAATGGCGTTCATTGTCATTACATTTTCTGAACAAAATAATTCCCTCTCATACAAAACGGAGTCCTTCGTATGAGCCAATGTTAGGGCTGCTATCAAAAATGGTGTCTGATTTTTGTATAGGGCTATAAAAGGCAGAACCTGGAGTGGTGAGTGACATGGGTGTCAATAAATTTGATTGCATCGCTCGCTGAATGAATCGGCTAACCCATTAGCCAGTATGCGTGCTGAGTGACTCAATGGGAGTTGTGGCCATGCCTGCGTACGAATGTGCTTATTATATTGGTGGTGTTCTTACAGTTTGTTCAATAAAGTGATTGAAAGTGGTCATCTTTAACCACTTGCAGAGGATTACAATACGTTCTACCAAGCTATGGTAGGCTTTATCGAATTAGCTAAAATCAAAACTGGGGCCTCGTCGATTATTCACCTGGCCAATATTAGCCCTTTTCTAACGTGTCTTTGTCAATTTTTCAATTTCATTTTGGTTTTTACATCCTAACACATTACAACAGAAGACAAAGTCAAGGATATTCAAACCCCGCTCGAGCAAAAAATCAGCACAGTATAAAAACCATTAACTACTGAATGTAACAATTCACAGCCTGAGCCTGATCTATCATTGAAGTCACACAGCCTCCTCTCGACCCCGTAGGAGCCTCGTGTTCAGAGTTTAATTTCATTTTTACTGCGTGGCTCGCCACAGACCGCGGTCCCACAGTATTAATGAACTTAGCCAATATAAACGCAATCATGCCTGAGGAGTAATTACAAATCTAATTGAGCATCTAAACAGAATATTAAATTCCCGTTAAGCCGTGCCTCTAATTTGGAAGACTCTTAAAAAGTCAAATCTTTGCCTGTAAAAAAAAACACAGGCGGGCTCTCTGAAAAAGCTTTAGGATGAGCATGGGGATTTTCCCTTTTTTCAAGCGAGAACGGCACGTCTACACAGATTCACTGAGCTCAACAGAAAGATAGACCGTCCAAGTGTAATATCTAAATATGCAGAAGTTGCAGAAAAAAACAACACATGAATACATAAAAATGCACGTTTATAGTAAGGTAAACATTGTGGTGCTGCAGTGATGCCCCAACCAATAAATCATATCCTCCAGACATACGGGAATATGCCTGCTACTGAGATCCCAGAAATGGACGGGAAATGATTTGGCTCAGCCTCATTTTTGTATGCCTGCACATAAGAATCCAGTGTTACTAAAAATGCCATTCTAAATATTGCTCCAAAATGGAAAATAAAGAAATGTCGCACACACGGTAGATTTAGAAAAATGATCAATTGTATATACTAATCTCCATGAGCGAAATTAGTTCTACGCATCGAGAGTTTTGACGACAACTAGAATCCTGATTTTGACAATATTTTCCTAGATTGATGTGCTTTAACTTGGAAATCATAAAATGGTAGTAATTATTCAGCATAAAGGGTTGGACAACAAAAAATGTGTAGTCATCGACAGTAAAAAATAGTAGAGTCCATTTTGATTAATCAATGACATCAGTGATATTTTTTTGGACAAAATTGGCACAGAAACAAATCCAAACGAAATGATTAAAAATGCAACTCACCCAGAAATGTCATCTATGTTTCCATTACACTTTAATTACAAGGATGGACTCGCATATTTTGTAAGTGACTGCTACAAGTGTCATTTTTGGTCACATATTTCCACAAGCTTATAGCGCAGTACAGTCAAAAGTGTTGCGACACAATGTCATAAGTATCAAGCTGTTGCTTGATGAGTGAATCTATGATTCTAGATTGAAACGTGTTTATAACAATACAAGTTTATAAATAACTTTCCAAATACTTTGGATAAAGACAATATTTTGAAGAACCATCCACCAAACAGTGGATATGCAAGACAAAAAAAATGGAGTTATGAGCGTCATTTGCTAATTTAATTTCAAAGTTGCTGTCAAAATAACCCAACATGATAATCTGAGTGAAGCAGCACTTCATCCAGAAAGACCCCTGCTCTGGTCAGCATTAGTAATACATTAGTCTGTTCAGTCAATCATTGGCTTGGAAACGAAGTCCAGTACAAAATGAGACTTAGGAAAAAAAAATTGCAAAAAAATTGAGCTAAATGCCCATTTCCAGTATACTGTCTACCCCTCTCGCCTGATAGTGTTCAAAATTAGTTCTCTCTTAAACTCATCGAACTTGTGAAGCCTCTGTCAAAAAAAAAAAAAAAAAGTCTTCCACGCATGCCAGTAGACCAAAGTCATAATTTCAACAAACCACAAGAGTCAGCTTTGTCATTTGAAGAGAAAAAAAAAAGCATGTTGTTCTAGGGTGGTGTCTTAGGTGACTAGCTGCTGATGCTGCTTTCTTCTTCGATGGTGATGTGAAGTTGGGGCCAATGGCGGCAATGGTTTAAAGGCTTGGTCATAATGTTGTGGAAAGGATTACCGCTTGAAAAAGAGAGTGATGTGTTTTAAATCAGAAGTCCGCGCCAAGAACAGGTCAGGTTTGTTGATGCTTAGCTATGTCACACTCCCCGTGGCCAATGTGGGGGTACTCGCAGGAGGCTCCAAGTTCACGCCAAATGGCACTGGAGCCAAAAACAATCAGCTCGCCTGGCTGCCGCTTTGGCAGCTTGTGTTATTAAAAGCTACAAAAAAAAAAAAAAATTTCACTTTGTCTCACATCATATTTCTTTGAACAGAATCCACTGCAGAACGAACAAAGGGGAAAATCTTCATTAAAAGTTTGCCTGAACAGAAAAGTTGCATTTGAAAGGCAGCGGAGGGCTAAACAAACTAGTTTGTCCTCGAAGGCGCAGAGGTCAGAAGTGCGATGAAAGAGATTTCAAAGAGGTTTTTGTACTGGTGCCTTCTGTCTCAACCGAGTCAGTTGCGGCTTGCAGAGGACAGCTTGGCTCCATGTCTCAGGGCAAAAAAGAGAAAAGAAGGGTAACGGAGAGCAAAGTGGCGCTGAGGAGCTGAGGAGGACGACACACAGCGTCAGGCCTTGGGAGAGGCCTGGGGCAAGGTTAGCCTGCCACTCAGTCCCTCTCTCCATCACCCCCTTCCCCCCATCCCACTTGCTAACGGTACGTTTAGATGAGAGCAATGCTTCCTGAGGTTTTGAAAAGTTTCACTTCGAAACAACAGTGTTAAAAAGATCAGTGGCCATTTGGTGCAGTAAAAACTACAAAACACACTAATTTAATTTTTATAAAATGACACAACAGACAAATACGTTTTTCACAGGACAGTGACGGAATAATTGCATGTATAAATGTATACAGTACAACAAGGTAAACATTCTCTACAGGAATTGAAGCCACAAACTCTAACTTTCAACTTTAGAAGTTGGCAACTTGGCAAACAAGGGATGGAAAACGAGACCATCCTAGCTTTAGTTCAAAACATTAGGCGTGGAATGCATCTAACTTTAGAATCGGGTATTATATACTTACTGTACTTCAAAGTGTGTGGACTGTCGTACAGTAGCGGTATGTGATTTGTGGATGCTGTTTTTAAAGTAATATTTTTGTTCCGTAGATTTTACGACACTGTACTTATTTAATATTGGACACGTGACAGACAGAAAATTTTTAAAAACTAATCTTGAAAATGAATAAAAACTCAACTAAAACTAATCCTAAAATGAATAAAAATTGAACAAAAAAAAGGTAACTAATAAAAACTAACCCAGTGCTCTAAAAACGAATTAAAGCTATCTAAATTTAAAAAAAAAAAAAAAAAAAAGTGAAATAAAAACTAATTATATTATTAAAAAAAAAAAAATCCAAAACTATTATAACCCGAGTAGAGAGACACGGATGGGGTTGTGGCAATATCTGGCCTTGGCTGGGATTTGTGTCAAAACTAAGGACAGGAAATTCTCTTGTGGCTGTGATGCAGCGACTTTGCAGCATCTTGCAAGGATCTTACCTTTCTCCTAAATACGAAAAGAAAAAAAAACAAACGCATTATTTGCATCCAACACAAACCATACATTTATGCATCCCACCATCTCGCAACACATCGGCTGGCCTTTAGCCATTGTCAGCAAAGGCAATGTGAAAACATAATGATGATAAATAATAAACAGGAACATAAAGAGCTCATGCGGATGCCAGACCCCGCGGGGCTGAGGAGTGACACTAAGTAGGTTGCCTGTCTATGCAGCGCCTCGCTGGCCTGAGGGGAAGTACTGATTTACCGCCTCTTGCTAAGAACAAATAAATCAACCATCACACTGAGCCAGACACAGACCTCAAGAGATGCCTCAATACCGCTGTTTATCGATTCCCCGTTTGTTTGTGTGTGCAGGCACATGAGCGGGTGCGTGTGAGGAAATGAACCCGAATGGCGCATTATTTATTTTGCTGTTTATTAATCTGCCGGCAAGAGGTGCTTTATCTACCCTTGTGTTGAAGAAAGTTAATGTGCTTACTTTTAAATTAAAGAGCCACTTAGGTAAGGTTGGAGGCCACATGAGTGTGGTAGGAAAGAGGAAAAAAGAGGCGGAGGAGGACCGCTCGGCTGAGAAGGCCTCGCCGACGAGAGCGGTATTGAATTTCAATTAGGGCACACCTACATTTACATACAGCCTACATGGCAATGCTTGGCTAAGCTATTTAGCGCTTCGGTTCAAACAACTGCTCTGAACCATTTCCATAAATTAAAAGGGCAAATGATAATTATTTAATGTCTGTTCATTATTCTGCCCACTCTCTTCGAAAGAGGCTACAAATATACAGTCAGTACAAGGTGCAGCCACAGAGTTAACCAAGACGATGAGGAAATTAGAGTGTCAGTGGCACACCCGTGCCACTGATGGCGACGTGGTGTTTCATCGCCTGACTTCTGCGTCGGGAACGGAGGTTCCGTTCCCGCTGAGTAACAATGTGAATGCTAGTGTGAACAGTTGTCTCTGTCTACCTGTGCCCTATGATCGCCTCATGACCAGTCCGGGATGACATCTGACAAAAGTCAGTTGGGATCGGCTAAAGCGCCCTGTTAAGACTGAACCGGAAAAGCCATATAGAAGATGGATGGACGGACGGACGGACGGGTTGATTAATCATGCCTGGAGGTCGGAGTACCATGACAACATGCAAAGAGGCGACTGTCATGTTAACGTTGTTTTCTTGTGAGTTACATTCAATGAACGGGGTTTGTTCAGAGTGCGTGAAATCCAAGAGATCATGAGTTAGTGAGGTTTTTTTTGTGCGACAATCATCACTTTAGACGCCCTGCACCTCAAACATACCAACATCGCATGAAAAATGAAAGAAGCCTGCTACTTTTCGATCGCACGATTGCATCTGCCACAAAAATGTGATGGGC